GGCGTGGCGGGGTGGGGTGTGCCGAGGAAGCGCAAGGACACACACCACATGTGCGCGCCACGCCCGCGCGTTCCGTCACGTGACACTCGCCACTTCCGTCGCGGGCGGCGGGGCAGAGAGTCGAAGGCACGATAAAATTCGGAGGGCATCACTATCGGTCGCATCGATCAAGAAGGAATCGCCCGGCCGACCTCCAAATTAGAAGTTGATAGTAATCGCGAGGCAGCACAGCAGCAAACATAGTAGGTGGGCCCATAGAGCAGGAAGTGTGGCCATCAACACAAAGTCCAGCAGCCGATCAGTCACCCAGTCAATCAGTCAGTATCAATCAGAGTCGGTCTCGTCGGAAATTCTGTCACCGCGTACCACATACGTACACACGGCCGGCCCGGGCGCGCCGGCGCGGGAGCGCTGCCAGGCAGTACACCTGGTCGGTCCCCCACGAGCCGCCGGGTACAGTAGTGTAAGTGAGCAGGTCAGGGCGGGGCGGGGTGGGGTGGGGCGAGGCGGGGCGGGTCGCGACCTGGAGCGTGGTGCGCGACTGGCCCGGCGCCAACCCTCATCAACAGGTGTCCACCGGGCTGGGATGAATGAGACGTGGAAGGGTGCGCCGCCACTGCGGCGTCGGGAAATCAAACCCCCTAGTTATTGTCAAATTTATTGAAGTCCTTGGTACAAGACTAAATTGGGCCTGGATTGATTGCCAAAATTTACTAGAGACTTTCAAGCAGACACTTTTCAGGAACGACACTGCGTAATACGTTTTGATTGGAAGTTTACCAAACGATTGCCTGAAACATCACCGACTCGAAAGGTGATTGGCATATTCCAAATAACATAACCCTACCTGCTACAGTTGAACACTTTCGCTGATACTTTTACTTTACTGTTAAACACTTTTAAATATTTATAAATCCAATCAAACACTTTAAAGTTACACACTTCCTTCATCAGTGTATAAATTTCGAAAACGTTTTTGAAAATTACAAGCAATAAATGGGTAAGAGTAAATAAATTCCTGCAAAATAATGTTATCCCCGGGTGGAAAGAAATGAACTTTAAGTATACTTTATTGTATACATGATGAAAGTTAACGTCTAAATGTTAACTTTAAGTGGACATTATGTGCCACTTGGACCCCTTGTCCGAAATATCTAGTACTTTGTGTATACTTTAAAGTAACTTTTGTGTACTTAAAGTAAAGTTTCAGTTAAGTAGAGGCGTGTAGGTAAAAGTTAAGTTTTTTCCTCCCGGGTCGCGTTGAGTGCAGGATAATTACCACGATCTGGACACACTATCATGTTGTGACTAAAATTTGACCTGTTCTTGACAGAAGCAAGGTGCAAGAGTACACGAAAAATGCACGAAAATCAAAAACACCTCTTTGCTTTTCAATTGCCCCTTGAAGCTCAAAATTTTACCACCTGTTTGAGTGGGTGGCGTGAAACAACAGGGTATTGCTTATTTGCCGCACTTGAAGTGTTGAGTTGAACTGATTAAGAATATTCTTGGTGGAGATTTTCTACTTTTTATTGCATCGAATTGTATGCTAATATTGGTGACGAACAGTTGACACACTGAATGCATTTGGTTTGTAGGACAAATAACAGAACTGCTTCGGCGTACCTCGTACCTCCCGCTGAGGGTGAGAGAAGCGTCCTCTTTCGTCTCTTTATGATCCTCTCCCCCTTCCTCTCCCTCCCATACCACTCGACACTCGTCCCGGTTCTGGGTCGTCACGATTCGCCCCTGTCACAGCCGCCACGCCACCCGCTCTCGCAACACAATACGACGTTAACGGGGTTGAACAAAGGGGCCGAAACGAAACGAAAATATTTTTAAAAATGTTGGTAGGAAACCTTTCTCCTTTTTTCTCATTTTTGTCAAAAGTTTTGCCCCTGTTGCACCCCTTGTAATTCTGGGAACATGTTTTCTGTCGCATGGTCCAGACGGCGGCACCGACACCAACTCTACTTGTCAACTGTCATGAGACGCGCATGGGGGCGGAAGATAGACGGGAAAGTGGGAGGGGTGGGGGGGGGGCTCTGTGGGCGTCTTTGAAGTGCAAAAACCTAAGAATAGAGGCACAACAGAATGGCGATCACGCCGCAAATACGCGACGAGGACCGCTACAGTGCCGGGGGCAACACATACGCCCCTCCCCCACCGCCGGTTGTGCTGACGTCCAACCGACACACGCCGCCACCGAGAAATATGTTTTTATTTTTTGCCGATGCAATCCGGCGTGTCGGTAGGACTAACAAAAGACAGGTGCCAGTAAGGCTGGCCAACGGACGCACGCGGGGCTCTCCCTCCCCCCTCCTTCCCATCCCCACCTCGGAAAAATCCATGGCACCAATCCCTCTCTCCCTCATTGCCTCCCACACCCACATATACCCATTCGTCCATTTATCACTCACACTTGGGTAAAATCTCTGTAATAAAAGTTGGATTTTGACGGCCGCACTACTGCATCCGAACGGGAGAGGAGCAGGTCTGGTGTCGCTCTAAGCACGATGTTTGTGTTGTCGGTGTTGTTCGCGTGCACGAGGGCACGGCGGCGTCACCAAGAGCGACCCCCTACGGCGCTTGTTTCTACGCTGCAGCACCCCCGCCGGGCCAGAGTCAGGGTCGAGGGGAACACAGCGCTGCGTCTGTCGGCCAGCCTCTTTCTATTGCGAAATTTGGGCCAAAAGCTATGTGCTGAGGAGAAGGAGAAGGAGAGTGGGCCAAAGTGAAAGAGCGGGTGGAGAGAGGTCGGGAGAGAGATGGGGAGCGTGAGAGTGGGAGGAGTAAAGGGAGTCCGTCAAGGGAGAGAATAGCACACGGCACTCCGCCTCGCACCGCCCCACTGCGCCCCGCGCCACGCCCCGCCGCACCCCGCCACGCCCCGCCACGCCCCACCGCCAAGGCGCACAGCTATTCTTACCCCTGATGTAACGACCACCGCCGCAACGCGGAGCGGATATAACCCGCGGATTGGATCAGCCGCTACAGATAAAAGCTGTGTGTGCGAGAGAGTAAGGCTAGGATGGCTCCGTGGGAAAGAGCGAGAAAAAAAAATTCGAAGGTCGCTCGAACAAGACGAAGAGTGATAAGTAGCTACGTCTCGGGTCGCTAGGCGAAGCAGGAGCGGGTGGGGTGGAGGGCAGGGCGCTAGCGGAGAGGAAGGGGGCGGTTAGAGGGTGCGAAAACGATCCGCCGCGGCAAACGAATTCATAGACTGGGGCCGGTAAAAATAGGAGGGCGGGACCAGCGGATTTGCTTTCCCCTGATTAGTTAACCTTGGCCTAATCTCCCCCACTCCGCTAAATTTCTCTGCCGGTCTGTCTGTCTGTCTGTCTATCTGTCTGTCTGTCTGTCTGTCTGTGTGTCTCTCTCTCTCTCTCTCTCTCTCTCTCTCTCTCTCTCTCTCTCTCTCTCTCTCTCTCTCTCTCTCTCTCTCCTCTTCCTCCCCCGCTGACACCCCCAAGCAGCTGTTCCCCAACGATACTTATGGCAGGAACTTATTTGTGGACGCATCGGCTTTACAGAATGACGAAGACGATATCAACCATTGCACAAACAGATCATACGTATTTTAAATTATCAGATAGTGGTGCCCGGAAGAACTAGAAAGTTGTCATCAGATATGAACTTCAGGTTTAAGATTTAGCAGATCTGCGTATTGGGAACTCAGTGAGTTTACTAGGTCTGACCCTTTCCTATCTGCGAGCCAATAGTCACAGGCTGCACCCCGGATAGCGGCGCGGCGTCTCTTTTGATTCCTTGCAATGTTTGCTATCAGTAGCCGTTTATAACGACGGTAGTTTCTTTGAAGGCGGCTGAGCCGATCTTCACTGGTGTCCATTTTAAACAGAGATAGAAAAGGGGTTGGGGAAATAAGGGGGAGGGGAAGTGACAGAGTGAGAGTGAAAGAGTGAGAGTGAAAGAGTGAGTGATACAGAGGGAGATGGAGGGAGGGATAGAGAGAGGGGGAG